TTCATCGAAAAATGGATATGCTTTCTTTTAACGAATTCAAGAAGATCGATCGTATACAGGTGAAAAAAGTAAGCTTCTAATGGCTACTAAGTGGTTCAGAAGGTTCTTAGGAACTTCCCTTCAATATTCACACAACTTCGATGGTGCTAAAGTCAACTGGTCACATACTGAAACATCTACAGACAAAAAGGCTAAATCCCGAAGGATAAGTGGCAGTTGTTTCTGAGCAACACTTAACAATATCTAACACCCAAAGATAGTCCACCGTAGTACTGCTTCACTTTCCGTAGAGGCCAAATTTCAAACTTGATCGATAGACTTCGATCGTTGCTAAGTACTAAGGATTAGACAGCTACATTGGCTAGCCATTGGTCAACAATTTGTGGACATAAACTAGTCAGTCATATCTTGAGCAGCTTAGTGGCAAAGTCTCTAGTCTCAACACCGTGTCAGATAGATTTGGATAACTAGAGAAACACCAGTTTCCTCATGGTTTCAGATACATTTCACTGATAAGTGCCGACAAGCACGAAAGTTAGATCCACGACTCCCAACTGACTGAGTATCTACATCTAACACCACAGTGTCTCCTCATTTAGCTTACTAACCAAACTGGAAAGCTGGTCGATAAACTCCGATCGGTGCTGGTCGGAGGACTAGACTGCTAAATCAGCTACTCACCGGTGGGCATTTTGTTTAATTTACTGAGTTATTCTGATGGAGATGATCAGAAGGAAGTCCTAGACCTAGGTTTTCTGCTTGTTGGCACTCATCAACAAGGTGTATCTGCAAACCCGACGAAGTTAATATCCCATCTGAGACTAAAACTCACGTTACCCAGTGTTACCACTGATCTACTCGGGACACGGTTGACTGGCATAGGTCCTTCTGATTGCCTCCATACAAGTAACATATGTCTCAGTGCATCGTTTTAATGAGGCTTATAACCCCACGCAACACTACAAAGTGATCGATAGAATTCGGTCAGCGCTCAGGACTTGACTACATGAAGTTGGTTTCTTTCCAATAACCAACCAATGTAGTCTACTGAGTGCTTCGAGTTTCCTCAATATTGGAATTATCTTTGTAAGATTTTTAGGAGTACGTATCTACATTCAGTATCTACATTCAGTTACTGTGTGAGAGTAAGACATATAAGTGATCACCTCAGAGTCGAAAATTTAAGCGCAGATAGATGCAACATGGTGGTTCAGTAAAAACTTCATACAAGTTAATGAATTTTTGACGTTTTGTTAAAACCCTGTGAACTTCCTCATTGAGATTAGCATGACAAGTGTAGTTGATAGTTGGAAGCTTTAACCTATATGGCTCAAAATCAGTTATATATGCTTACACTTATCCCTGAGGAATCTTACTGTCTGTTTTTTATCATCATCTTATAACTTCCTAATGGTGACATTACCATTGCTACCCTCCTTCTTACTGGCTTCCAATCAAATTGTGCTAATGTGACAACACTAACACACAGTTACGCTAGATGTGTCTGTCTAAGTACTTGAAAATCCCTGTAGCAACAGGTAAATTATAACGATAAGCAGGTCAATATACAGGGAAAATTACATCAGACTTTATTTTGGACACAGTTACCTGTAGTATAAACAAAATACCAGTAACATGGGACTCAGTTCACGAACTAACCTCATTACAAGACTAATTGGCTGGTTGGAGAAATAACCTTTTAATTCAATACAATAGAAATTCCCATCTCTGTTTAGTTATCCATTTCTTTACAGAATTGCTGATAATATTCATGATGAAAAATTTTAGCTAGGATTGTCAAGCTCTAGTCAAAAAAGACAACTCAGTTGTATACCTAGATTTTCCAAGTGTATCAGAAACGTGTTTCGTTTATCCTGCCACCAACTGTCACAATATATGACATCAACTTCAGTAGAAATAGAGCGAAAGAGAAGGCATCAAGACAAGGCACAGTGATAATTCAAAATCTTTCACACAATGGGGGTTTAAGGTGTGTTGAAAATAGTAAAGATTACTTTTAAGGGTTTATCATACAGTAAAGGTAGGTTGGTGGAAGTAATTGAATGATAAGATAGTTGAACTAAACTTTAGTGACACGGATCTTTCGCAGTGACTAGTCCTATTGCAGATGCAGTGCACCAAGGTCATTCATTCACGTCAGTTTATCATGCTCTTGATACTGTTGATAAATTATGATGAAAAATGCGTTGTCGTCTATTTTCAGAGAGTTGGATTGCTTTCAAGAAGTTTGCATTATCAGTATGATGTTTTAAAAGTTTGTATACCTAAAAAGGAATAAAAAGATATTTCCATCTTTCGATGTCTCAGCTATTGCAAAAAGAAATCACTCAGAACACGGTTGTTTCTCAAAGTATCTCATGTGACTTTCCAACAAATAATGATTTTATCACTATACTAGGTTTCTAGAACACGTGTAATATCAGCTAAAGCTGTGACAGATGTTAGTGAAGTCTCTTCAGTTCTGCTATGAAATAATTTGCAGGCTGGATATGAAGTTTCGTGGAATAGATAGTGTGGTGTAAATAGATGAATATATTGTCCAGAAACGTAAATGTAACCAGGGAAGACTATCTACACGAACAGATAGACAAATAACAACATAGGACTTGGTATTACTACACAGCCGTCTACGTTTCCACCCCTCATATCAAAACACTAACTGACAATGTACTCAGAAGAAAGTTATTAAAACAGAGTAAGGTGGAATAAAAGCATACTGAAATTCAGTAGAAGAATATAATCTGTGGATACATCTGCGCCACTAACATTGATTTCTGAACCATATTGTCTAGATTCTACAACTCAACCAGACATTCGAGTGAGCAAAGAATATTCTTTTTAATAACTTATTCGTCAGAAATTATGCGTCAACAATATTGAGATTCCGCTTATCAGTTTGTCAGTAATATTATACAACTGAAGAAGTTAATGAGAAAAGTCTTGTGTGAACGTCAGTGAAGTCTAATTTTCTCTACACGGCTCGGACCAACAGTCAAAAGCATATAAGTGTTAAACTTGGGCACAGTGGTAGAATGTAATTCCATATTAGATGTTTTTATTTGATGTATTGCACAGTGATACGGTAGTATTTACTTTATGACGTTTTGAGCATAAATTATTGCTCATAAACACATCAGTGCGAATCTAATATGAAATTATATTTTGTTTGACTGTTATTTACCCGTGAGACATCAGATACACAGCTGAAAAGTCTAAACATATGATGATGACTTTTTCTGCTGAATAAACTTGTTGGTGTAATCAACGATGGAGATGACGAACGAAATGACCCCAGCCACCCTTGCTGCAGGCAATAACTCATGCTTATTGTGTGAAGGTTAGTGAGACTACCTAGCTGACCAAACCTCAGTAGTTGGAGCGGGGTTCGAACCCGTGATCCAGTAGTCGGCAGTCACCTACACAAACCTCTGAGCCGCAACTCCACAACGATGGAGTTGTACAAGCTATAGCAATAAACACTATACTACACACGTCTTACAAGGACTGGCTATCATGACTCAGTGGCATAGTGAATAACGCTGTGGAGTCTGAAGCAATCACTCCTGGACTTCAGTCTTAGTGGGAACATCACTTATTGGGAGGCAGGTGCATTCAGCTGATGAGTCCCAAACAGGACGAAATGCGCGTGCCAGATTCCACTGCTAGACTCAATCTACCATTGATATTTAGCATCCAGCTCATCGCACATTGTAATAACACACAGTACGAAGAATAAATTTATTTGAGTTCATCAAATGGTGTACCGAAAAGCTTCCATGAATTCTATAGACAAAAGACAAGTCTACAAGATAATACAAATCCGCATTTTGAGAAAATCACTGAAGAAGAATGACTTTATTGAAATTTGAACTCTAATATCTACCCTTAAGAAGTCAGCATATAATATCTGATTTTCTATTCCAAGTCGATATAACGCTAAGTAATGTCTATCCTTTTTGAGTCCACAACTGATGATTCATGAAACTGAAAATGCTCAATTACAAAATCTTTTCGAATATTTTACTATTCATGATGAATTCCAATGGATAACTTATATGCCTGAATTAGATTTGTCAATTTGATTGATAACAGTGATATACTATTATTTACTTGATGACGTTTTGAGCATAAATTATTGCTCAGAATCATACCAAGTGAATCACACTGCCTTCGACATTTGATTGTTATAGTCCTATCACTTGATATTCTTTGTTTTTATTGATAGTAAAGTTTTCTATATCTCTGGTATACATGTTTCAGGAAGAAATATATACACAAACAGGAGTAACAATCAGATGACCAATATCCCTAATCGTAGGCCATATATTCATAGATAGCTGGGAAGACATGGCTTTACGAACGTATTATCTTACACCTAAGATATGGTGGCGATATGTGGATAACACATTTACTCAGTTGGAATCGGAACACATCGATAGTTTCCTCACACATATAAACTCAGTAGTGAACACAGTCCAATTCACTTAGGAGGTAGAAAATGAACAAGGAGAGTTATCTATGTTGGATTGCAGAATAAAACGAAAGAAAGATTGTGGTATGGATACTACCGTCCACAGGAAACCGACACATTCTAACGCATATCTAGACTTCAGGTCATCTTGTACTTGCTGAGTTACCGGCTTGCTTTCTCTTCCTCCTTCAGATTCTCGTGGTCAACACTAAACATACACTGCTATACGTACCCCCTGCAACAATGTACCTACCTACAAGCTAGACGAAAACGTATCAACAGCTAGGCATTATAATCTCATTTAATGTCAGTTAAGGCGGGTTCAGTCAAATGTCTAAATGATCGAGCTAAAAAGCCCACTAGTCATTGCCATGTTCATATAACTAATATCTTTGTCAAATATGCTGACTGACATTTTGACTTAATTAGTAGCGTAACCATCCTATAACGTTAATTGTTTATGACAGAGACCCTTCTTGAGTCCTCAGTATAGCAAAACAATAAAATATTTGTGAAAAATTGCATTTGATATATTTTTAAACAAATATCAAGTAACACTGTTCTTAAGCAGCTGGTGTAGGTGTAGGAGCAGGAGCACTAGACGATGGTGGAAGGCCAGCAGATCCTGCAGACTGCCATGGCTGTTCTGGCACGGGAGCTTGTGGTGGGAATCCCTGAAATCTAGGAGGTGGTGGTGGCGCAGGGAAACCAGCTGACGGTGAAGGTGGAGGTGGAGGAGGTGGAAAAGATGTTGGGGCGGCAGGAGCAACAAGCACAGGTAAGATTGGTGGAGGCGGAGGAGGAGGTGGTGGTGGCATTGAACCGGGTACAACAGACTGACCGAATCCCATTAAAGCCGTCTGAATGGGTGGTGGTGGTGGTGGCATGACCAGAGATGCTGCAGGTATTGTAATCGGCGACATAGTTGGGACTGAGTGAGCCATATTTCCTGCAAGCAAGGTTGGTGGAGGTGGTGGGGGTGGAGGTGGTGGGGCATCTGCAAACAGCTGATGCGGACGTTCAGCCTAAAATGAAAATATAAAAATAGACTTTAGTGTTACGAAGTTATGCAAAACCGATTATGAAAATGAACATTGAACTCAAGCTTCTACTAGCTACAGTTACCAGTACACCAATTAGAGTCGTTAGTCAAACTGAGTACTAAGAAGTATACGTCACTGGAATGCTCGCTTCCAATTACCGAAGATAATGTTCATGTGTTTATAGCATCAATTTCAATGTCTCCTTTGGGTCAACTTAAGCTACTGGCCTACAAATTCATGTATTCTAGGAATGAAAAATATTGACATTTAATTGAACACTGATTGAATTTTGAGGGGAAAAGAAGGGAAGGCTCAATGTGAGTATCTTGAGGAGTCACTGGGCTATTTTAAGTTGCAGCGATACATATATTGCATACTGCGCCAGATTTTGTGCTGCTTAAGTCAATTATTCAACCAACCAGTAGGCAAATACCACTTACTAACCATAAATTGCTGCTGCAACACAATAGCCAATACAGTGAAAAATAGTGCTGAGAAAAAGTAGCTAAGGTGATTTTCGAAATAGCCTCGTTGGTAGCTGCTATCTGTATGTGGTGGTCAGACTTTCACATCACAATTACTCAAAGCTTGTTTCTTCGAGGTTCTATCATACTAGAAAGGTCTGTTGGATAGTGGTTAGACAAAAAGCAGTTACCGTTACTGAGTGAATTGGGACGCTAAGAAGGAAGTCCGACGGTTATATCGTACTACTAAGTGAACGCGGCACGACAGCAGTAAGGTATTTCCCGTAGGTGTACAGTATTGTCATGCTGATGCTGCCTTCCCCGTTACAATCAGTTAGAAAAAACTAAACACGAAAATAGCATATTGCTCTGCGGTATTCCGATGCCGGCGGTAAAGGCTTTACAGGGGGGATTCATCCATCTCATCTCTCACAACGTTGATCCTCGCACACAAGTGCATCGATTCAAACTGCCACACTTCACGGTAGTATACAAAGAGCTGATGCATAGAAAAAGAAAGATATCAAAGTAGATAAAATTGTGTGATAAAACAAATAATTTGAAGATAAGAGTTAGCGCAGATATTCAAGCTTTAGAAGACGCCACACAGCGAGTACATCTGAGCTGTTGTGACTGATCTTCAACCACTGATTTCTATCATCTGAGGGAGCCCAGCAAGATGGTCTACACCCCCTCCCCCCACGCGACCTAGCAAGATTCAACGCAAAGTTAATTCCAAAACTTCTAGAAATGACCGTGCTTTACTGGCCTCAACCAGATGTCCCATGGTCTCTGTCGTCACACAAATCCTTTTATCTTTCAAGTACCCTAAGAAGAAATTGCCTTCCACTGTGTGGGCAGTCGGCAAGTGTCAACCACCCACAAGCTTCCACTAGTATTCCAGACCCAATCAAATATAACCCGTTCTTCTTAGCTGTCTCCCTTGTTTTCGCCACCACTAACCAACTACTTACAAACAAAATAAGGAAAAACCATTTGAGCGCAATTCAGAAAATTTCTTAAGCTTATCATCAAATATGAATATGACGTCACGCAAACAAAGAATCATTAAAACCCAGTACCTGATACTTCCACTTACTTGAGAAAGGGGACTTTGTGCAGCTAACAAACGTTCCGCAGCTGAACCATGACGTTCACCTTTACTATCTTTCTTAAACGCGTATGATATAGTGATAGCTCGATTACATAGGTACTGTCCGTTCATCGCTTCAATCGCTGCATCACTAGCCTCGAAACTGGCAAAATTAATAAACGCATAGCCTTTAGAATTCCCTGTTTCAGGATCACGCATAATTTTAGGTGTTTGAAGTATGACACCGAATGCACTGAATGTATCATATAACAGCTTTTCATCCACCTCAGGGTCTAAATTACCAATGAAGATGTTGGCACCTATGTCAAGATTTTTCTGATTTGCCGAAGCTTTATTCACACGGATAGGCTTCCCATACAATTTGATCATATTCATTATACGCATAGCGTAGTCGGCATCTTCTTCCGTCATGAACTCTACAAATCCATAGCTAAATAGAGAAAAAAGGATGTAAATAATATAAATGAACCGTGAGAATATTTTATAGGCTAGTAATGCGAGCTATGCTACTGACTACAATACTTATTCCCCAAAATTAGCACTCCAAGAGACCTGCTGGTTGTAACTTTCGTGGCTTGAGAGGTAAAGATGAAACCGAATGGAAATACAAACGCTACAATATTCAAAACTCTGGGCTAAGTTGAATTTAGAAAAATACTATCAATTACCGAAAAATAAAATGAACAATACAAGTTAGCACAATCAAGAACTAATATACATAAGTACTCCCTTTTTCGACACAAAATCTAACCAAGACTCACAAAAACTATTGTACATTCACAATAAATATGCGAATCTTGAAAAACTGATGGTTGTTGTCAATTGTTATGTACAGCTCCTGGCAACTGACAGGTTAACATAACACTATACAAGTAAAACTCCTCAGAGGAAAGTAACAGAATCGCTGGTAGCGTCTGGAAAAAAGTATTCACAGACAAGCTGTACTAGTTGGCAAAAGTCAACAAGGCTGGCCGCCTAAAGTTCGATTCATTACCTTATTATAATAAACAGGTCTATCAACCCAAAACCCATCTACGTACATAAACAATGGTCAAGACATTTGCCAATTAAAAACGCGGAAGTGGGTAAACCTGGACTCTATAGTGGGTCACGATTTAATTGAAACCAATAAATTTAGTTCTGAGCATAACCTCAGTAACTAGCAAGAAGTGGATGTTAACAGCGATATAAAATCTCTTTGATCAGCACGACATCGGACTACAACTCGAATGGCTGACTTATCGATTCTAAAGGTGCTCCGCTGACATTTTACATAAATAAAAGATAAACTGCAAACAAAACCTCAGCACTGGAATAAGCCACAAGATGTCATTGTTATATTGACAATCAACATAATATTAGTATTGCTGAGAATGATAATTTATATGTCAGTTAATATCAATACGGAATCTGGCAATACCGCGTAATGACTAAAGTTGCCACACTCCATATCAGCAAACCTAAGTAGATGGCACTATGGAAGAGAAACAAGGAAGAAAACAATCAGAAGTTATGAAAGAGGGAAAGGAGAGCTAAAGCATAGAAAGAAATATGGTATAGTTACGTAGGAGATATGTGTATGCATCGGCGACAATGAGATCTATTTTACGTTACTTAGTTTCCAACCACCGATTTCGGTTGATACACGGAACCCCAAGCGATGAGCCAACATTCTTCTATATGGGTAAGATCGAAAATCAGAGACTTCTGACCGCCCTACACCTTTTTCCGGCCTGAGTTCACTTCAGATAACATTGTGCAGTGAGGTAGATGGTGATCAGAGATGCGTACCACGTCCCGTCTATCTGGGTCGAATTTATCAACTAACCTACCTCTTTTAAGATTAAGCTTAAATTTTACGTTTATATAGTGGTGATTCCAAAACACACAGCCTATGCCACGAAGGGAAAGGTGGTCGTACAACTGATGCCTTTTCCTTTCTATCTTTAATGACCATGTTTTACAGCTAAACAATAAGACAGATTCCACTGACGTTTGGTGCGCTTGGTTCTAAGTAGATAATTAGATATCTCTACGGTAGCAAGTTGGCGAAAGTCAGTCAGACCTATTGCATCTGTGCCTAGATTTCATCAGTAACTAACCCACTATGGCTAATCCAGCTTCCTAAATAATTGAGGTGGTTAACACGCTTAGTTGTTTTACTCCCTTCTATTAAACAAGGCGCCACTTGAAACAAATCTTCGGGTAACAATCTCCATTTGGGTGATACGAAATATCGCATTCATTCTCATATTGCCACGTAAGGTGTCCACAAGACTGTATACCTCATCACCATCACCTGAAAGAATTATATTCCACGTTTTCTAGACCTACTACGTAGTCTGCTGTGACAAGGCCAATCCATGTAGTCAGAAGATGAAGAGATCTCTGCAAGTTCGTCTGTAGTTAAATTAAGAATGGAGAGACGTCGCAAACGGACACCACTCAGCGTACACAACTTACCTAACCGTAGGCCGACACCCCTACGAGTAATCGAATACACAGCTTTCGACAGTGTTATAATTACTTAAAACCCCTTTTAATGAGATTGCCGTTAGATCCCTCCGTAGGCATTGGATAATAATATGCGGCGTCGTATAAAATCGAGTCTAACGGACCCAGCCAAACTACTAGAGGACCACCAAAATAAATAATCAGTACATAGCGAGCCAGAACTTATGCACTGTCATTTAAAAGCTCTCAAACAACGAATCCATTCAGTGTAAAACTAGGTTAACATAATAAATTTCTGGCGAGAAAAGTAACAAATGGTTACTGCTGCAACAGAAATGTCCGTATCAATACCTGCAAGACAAGTGATGGAACTAGCTAAAACATTTCAAGCATACTTTCCCAATTAAAGAAATTCATATGATGCTAAATTTTAGAATCACTGGCGTTTACAGGCATACGAATATGTGAGAACCTACCCTTGGTGCTGCATGTTTATTCGATCCTTAGGCATATGTACATTAACCACTGGCCCTGCCTGAAGGAAAAGCTCCCAAAGGATTGATTCGTTGACTTTCTCATCCAGTCCACCAACATAAATTGTGGCGTCTTGGTTACGTTCTTCCATAACCCCAATGGTCATTTTAATCTAATTATTGGGTGGTGGTTTTTGAGCTACTTCTATGCGGTGACTAATAAGGTATGACAGATGACTGAGTAATTTGAATGTTAACAGCACACGTATAGGTAGCGAATTGTGAGAGTAGCCGCGCCAATAAATTTGTGACCAGTGATTAAAGGTTTCAACCTCCAACAACATACAACATTAATAGTCTGAGTGGAGGAAACTTTTCATTGTTGACGTCTCATTTCTAGGTCTTGGTGTAGCACCATGTATCTTTAGAATCAATAGCCTAGAGTTCGATGAGATTCAACATGCGTGCTGATCTTCATAGTTTAACTGGACTCGCTAAACTGAAGGCACCCGGTCAAGCATCCACGCCATTTGGCACGCTGTCATGTTACGTTGCACTGTTCGAAATCGACCCTATAGACAGTTAGTTGGAACGCGTTGGTATCTTGACAAGACCTCGCAAATATACTATTTCATCCGACTAAGCTATTTTGTTCTTTCTTGGCCTCGTATTGGTGGGTATATAACATGTTCGAATAACCAGTGGTTGGCCCTTGCGTCTGTCAAGTTCACACCGGGGCAATTCTCAAATCTGTACTTGGCTCATCCGTTCGGTTTTACTGCTTCAGTGGCCGCAGGAGTCGCTACAATTCACCGGCTTTGGTGGTAGTGATTGTCTATTTGAGGGTCTTCTTTCGCGAATTGTAAGTTGTTTTGTTTTGGAGAAGAAATGAAGCTGCTGGCAAGATCACTCATCTATTTGCGGTTCCCGTTTTTGTAATCACATGCAAGTAAGTGTCGGGCGTTATTTAAAAAACAGGAATACGGAATGAGAAAAAGAGGAGTGAAGAGTGTAGCGTCATACACTTCCCCAAAATCAATAGCCTAGGGTTTGACGACTTCGACATTGATGCTGACCTTGATAGTTTAACTGGACTCGCTAAGCTGAAGGCATCCGGTCAAGCATCCTCGCCATTTGGCACGCTGTCGTGTTACGTTGCATTGCTCGTATTCGACTCTCTAGCCAGTTAGTTGGAACGCATCGGTATTTTGGCATAACCATCCAAATATACTATTCCATCCGACTACGCTATCGTGTTCTTCCTTGGTCTCGTATTCGTGGGTATATAACAAGTTCGAATAATTAGTGATTGGTCTTTGCGTCTGTCAAGTTCGCACCAGGACAAATCCTAAATTGGTGAGCCCGACGTGATCAAATATCCCGACGTGATCACATATCCCGACCAATAGCAAGTATTGAATTGGTGAGCCTGTTCCATTTTATATTTGTTTATTGTTTTCATTTCGATAACATTTATATATCCATTTACTACACTTTCTCATGTCCGACCACACTCCCAAGCTTATTCGTATTAAGCCGACCTCGAACACGATCCAACTCGTGCCATATTGGCCAGACAATGCAGAAACATGGTTTCTGTATGCCGAGGCCGATTTTCGAGAACAGGGTGTCTCAGATCCTCATCTCGATTTCTTGCTGTCATACGTTCACTACCGCGAGAATTAAACAGGTTTGTTACAGCAAACATGTTTAATCCTGAAGTAAGTGACCCTTATGCACTTCTAAAGGCCGCACTCTTGAAGAAAAGCGATCTCACAGATCGCCAACGTCTAGACGAATTGCTTCGTAACATCGAGCTAGGCAGCCACTCAGCTACTGAAGTCCTCGCACGCATGCGAGAAGTAATCGGTGCACGAACATTTGACGATGGTTTCTTCCGAGAACTATTTCTCTCGAAACTACCACAACCGGTGCAAACCGTGTTGGTGACACTCCAGTCAGTCCCACTCGACGACCTGGCAGCCTCAGCAGATAAAATACTGGAGATATCCAGCAGACCCGTCTCCAACGTATATTCTATCTGTGACAAAACAGAGCGCCAGGATTCGGAGGTGACCAAGTTGTGCAACTCTGTGAAACGGTTGCTACGATCTCGAAGTCCTAGATCACGTAGCACTTCACAGAAACGCACCTTGGCGCATCGCAGCAAGTCGCGTGGTAGCCCTAAAACGAAACCCAACAGGGTGGAAAACCCTGAATGGTGCTGGTTTCATAACACTTACGGGGATGAAGCCAGAAAATGTCGTAAACCATGCCGTTTTAAGAAGGACCTGAACTCGGGAAACGGTCACGCCGGCACGTGCTCACGGCAACCGTAGCCGGCGGAAAAAGCCGTTTGCTCTACGTCACCGACATTAAAACGAAAGTCCGCTACCTCGTCGACACCGGCGCAGAAGTTAGCGTTCTTCCAGCAACGACAAAGGAGCGTCATCTCGACCCATCCTTCAATCTTCAAGCAGCCAACGGCAAGGCAATCGCGACATTCGGGAGACGGTATGCCTACCTCAACTTAGGTTTACGCAAACCTATTCACTGGATTTTCCTCCTGGCAGACGTCTCTATGCCTATCATTGGCATAGATTTGCTGAACCATTACGATCTACTCGTAGATGCTCGCCGTCGACGACTGATAGATAACAACACAAAGTTATCTATTGGCGGCACCACCTATGTAGGTCCGAGTTTAGCCATCGTTAGGACTAAACAATCAGGTGACGCGTCCTACCAGGCAGTTCTGGAGAAATATCCAGAGTTACAACAACCGAAACACACTCTTCCGTGCATAACCAGCAATGTTATGCATCACGTCACAACCACAGGTCCACCTGTGGCATCCAAAGCTCGCCGTTTAGCCCCCGATAAGCTGCAAACGGCGAAAAATGAATTCGACCATATGCTCGAACTGGGCATTATCAGACCGTCAAACAGTCCTTGGGCATCGCCATTGCACATGGTGCCCAAAAAGGATAGCAACGACTGGCGTCCGACCGGTGATTACCGAAGGCTTAACGCCAAAACAACTCCGGACTGCTACCCTATACCCCACGTTTACGACTTGACCGCAACCTTATGCGGCATGAACATTTTCTCGAAAATCGACTTAGTCAAAGCGTACAACCAGATACCTATGGCAGCAGAAGATATCGCGAAAACAGCCATTATTACTCCTTTTGGCCTGTTTGAATTCCTGCGCATGCCTTTTGGTCTTCGGAATGCAGCACAAACATTCCAACGCTTTATGGACGACGTCTTCCGTGGTCTGAATTTTGTTCATGTCTACATAGATGACTGTCTAATTGCGAGTCCAGATAAGGAAACACACCTTAAACATTTGGACCTCGCATTCGAAAGACTCAAAAAACATGGCATCACAGTTAACTTACAGAAGTGTGAAATAGGAGTTGAATCACTCAGCTTCCTTGGGCATACCATTGACAACAAAGGTATACGCCCATTGAGAGATAAAGTGGCGGCTATCACAAACTATCCAGAGCCGACCACTGTGAAACATCTCCGCACTTTCAATGGCCTGGTAAGTTATTACCGAAGGTTTATCCCTAACTGTGCCTCTGTCATGAGACCACTCACAGATCTACTTCGAGGAACTGCGAAGTTCGTGTCTCTGGACAACGCGGCTAGACTTGCTTTCTCCAAAGTCAAGGAAGCCATTTCGAACGCAACCATGCTTATGCATCATGACCCCAATGCTCCTCTGAGTATTGCTGTTGATGCATCTGATTCAGCAATTGGAGCAGTTTTGCAACAGTTGACTGACAACCAGTGGCAACCGTTAGCCTTTTTCTCGAGGCGGCTGCAAGACGCGGAAACAAGATACAGTACATTTGGTAGGGAACTCCTAGCCATGTACTGTTCTGTACGCCATTTTCGACATTCTGTGGAAGGTCGTGATTTCATTATTTTCACAGACCACAAACCGTTAACGTTTTCCCTCAGCTCGGCGTCTGACAAATACTCCCCTCGTGAGTCGCGACAGCTGGATTACATTTCCCAGTTCACGTCAGACATCCGCCACATTTCTGGAGCAAACAACTCCGCAGCCGACGCACTATCTCGAATAGCTTCGATAAACTATATCGAGGGTATTGATCTCGTTGAACTAGCTCGGCGTCAAAAGGAAGACCTTGAGCTGCATCATGAGTTGTCGTCCACAACTCTCAAACTGCGACTTTGTCCTGTTGGATCAGACAAGGATGCAATTTTGTGCGATGTCTCTGCTAGTCAACCACGCCCAATAGTTCCGAAGAGTTGTCGACGCAACGTCTTCAATACGTTGCACAAACTCTCTCATCCAGGTGTACGAGCCACCATTAGGCTTATCGCACAACGTTTCTGCTGGCCTGGGATGAACAAAGACGTTAAGGAGTGGGCCCAGTCGTGCTTAGCTTGTCAAAAGTGTAAAGTCACGCGACACACGAAAAGCCCTTTAGGCTCATTTCTAGCCCCAGACATGCGTTTCGACCACGTCCATATAGATATTGTAGGACCCCTACCAGAATCTAATGGATGTACCTACCTTTTCACCTGTGTTGATCGTTTCACACGATGGCCGGAAGCAGTACCCATTAAAGATATTACTGCCGAAACAGTTGCTCGTGTTTTCGTCGAAAGATGGATCGCGAACTTCGGATGTCCATCCTACGTCACAACCGACCGTGGGCGCCAATTTGAGTGCGGACTATTTCACGCTCTAACGGCACTTTTAGGTTGCACTCGGTTCCGAACGACAGCCTACCATCCACAAGCAAATGGCATGGTAGAGCGTTTCCATCGACAGCTGAAAGCTTCCCTTTCAGCTACAAACATACCTCAGTGGACCGAGGCTCTGCCTCTAGTCCTACTAGGTATTCGTAACGCGTTGAAAGTTGATGCTGGATGCACTCCTGCAGAACTCGTCTATGGGACCACTCTTCGCCTACCAGGTGAGTTTGTTTCCCCTTCAACTTTCAAACATGTTTCCGATAGGGCATCTTATGTGACTAGGCTTACAAACGCAATGCGTTCAGTTAGGCCTTCTCCGATTAGACCGCAAACGACTGATGTTTTCGTCCACCCCAGTTTACAGAAGACATCACACGTGTTTGTTCGCCACGACGCTGTTCGTCGACCACTTGAACCACCCTACGACGGGCCGTTCAAAGTGATTAAGCGACATGAGAAATTCTATGTAATTGAGCGAGGCGGACGCGAAGATACTGTCAGTATCGACCGTTTGAAACCAGCTTATTTCGAAGGCAACCCCATTGTAAGTGACGTTTCAGCTCGCT